GCAGCTCCAGACGCTGCTGTTCGGAGGCTAGCGGCTAGTTCCTTGTTTCAGGCACGTTTCGCCATGTTTCCCACGAGCTCGCTTGATTCATGGACCTCCTTCGTTCATTCGTGGATGAAAATGGATCGCAGAGCTGTGGTGGCCGCGGCATGCCGTCAGCCTTCATGTTTAGGCATTGTTGCTCAGCTGTGCGAAGTTCTGTGTGTGCTTGGCCCATGGCGTACACAGTTACCAGGTACTTGTATTGGGCACAGACAGCAAGTGGGCGCGCAGGGCTCTTTTCGTCGAACTTATTGGCGCAGGGGCGTCTCCGTTAGTCTTACTTCGTCTGGTCGTGTGGCCTGTGGCCGACGATAGGAACGTATTGTGCGACATTGCAGACATCTGCAGGCGCACGCAACAAGTTCAACTCCTTCGACACATTGCAGGCCAGTTTTTCTGTTCCGGTTCTGCGTTGCGACAACTCCGTTGATGTATCCTTCGCCGGCATTGTTTCATGACCTTGGCCAAGCTCAAAACGGATCTTCACAGTAAGCCTCCAGCTTTCCAAAGCGGCGTGCAACACTGCGGATTTGGCCGTTATGCAACTCGCTCGCCGAGCTTCTTTCCTACACTGCCGAGGAAAGTCTGCAAACTTCTCTAACTTATCAAAAACAATAGTCGAAATGGTGGCATCCAGGCTGCTCAACATCAAAGTTTCGTTGCTCATGCTCGCAGGTCCACGGCAGGAATCAGGAAAGAAACCCTGTAGTACGGAGCTCTGCTGCTATGTCCTAGACAGGTGGTTTCTGCTGTCCCGACTCCCCAAACGCAAGACTACCGCACTCGTCCCGTGGAAACAACGACGGAGTCGCCTTCTTTTGCATAATTCCCATGCAAAGGGACTCCCATCTTCCAGCTCTCGCAGGTGACGCGCTCCTTCCATTCTGCCGAGGCGCAGTGGTTACCCAGAGCTTGTGCAAGTGCCTGAGTTGCGACACCCGTCTGCGTTTTGGTCTCGAGGGCTCCGGGAAGAAGCCTGCCGCCTAGTGAGACGATTTTTCATCCTCGCAGCTGGCTCTGTGCCCGATCTACAGTTGCCACAAGCACTTCCTTGTCCTCAGTCAGGCGATTCGAGCTGGGGAGCTTGGGCCTTGAGCCAGGGAAAAAGCGCATTGCTTGGGCCTCACCTTCGTGTCCTTGCGTTTGCAGCCTCTGACGGAAGCCCCAGAGCACGGATGCGATGATATCGACAAAGTTCCGGTTCTGAGGCTTTCACTAGGAGAGGGCGACAGACTTTGGGAAACAGATGTGGGAATTGAAGTTGGAATTAGCTGGAGCTGTGGGAACTTTATACATGGAACTAGTGGCCCATGCCAAGGCCAGAAGGTAAAATTCGCAAACATCAAAGCGGACTGCAGCTCAGGACTTCACGGACAAAGGTTGGCCCAGCACTCGCAAGGAGTCCGTTGTGGGGGCTTGGTGACGTGACCTGCTTTGATGATGGTGTCGCATTTGTCTCGATGTTGGGAACGTTGGGGGAACATGTAGGTTCGTTCCTTCAAGGGCGCGGAGACATCCCACCATGGAAGCTGCAATTTTCTCGCCCTGCTCCGAGAGACCCTTATCTCGCTTTCATCGCCTCCTGCTTCAAAGTGTGCATTGTCAAAACATGAACTGACTCTCTGAATTGGCTGTGGGCTCTGGACAGAAATCGGAGAGGTCTTGGCCTGGAGGCTTGTTGGAAGATGCGGAACGCTCCTGGATCGACAAACACTTCCTATCTCAGACTCTCACTGGTGGCTCGTCCCCTGCTGATGCTGCGCAGGAAGCCATGGCTCGGCTTCGCAGTGGTGGAGAGGCCACGGGGCATCTCGAGTCTACGAAATATCACGTCGTGCTGCACTTCGTGTCAGTTCTCGTGTCGATTCGGTTTCAAGATCCAGGCACGCATAGGATCTCCCAAACAACCAGTGCCAGGTCAGGCGTCAGCTGACGGAAGCTGGCTTCGATGAGGAAGCGGTGGGAAATGTCTGGGCCCGACGCATGTATCAGCAATCCAGTTGCCCTATGCCATCGCAATGTCAGGTGCGTTTATTTCTCGGCTGCTTGCTCCTGCTTGCAGGTGGAAGCTGCGCTTGGTTATTTATCAGATTGCAAGCAAATCCAGGCACTGAGTTTCGCCTGGTTTCATGTTGACACCAAGTGCCTTCGGCAGGCTCAGATGTTGAACTGCAGAGACAGCGCCGGTTAAGAAACAGTCAATTTTTCTTGAGGAGGGGCTCGATGTCTCACTTTTGAAGAGCAGGTTTTTTTTTTGTGAAAAAATACATGTCGGGATTTGGGCATACCCTGGATTTCTTAACCCAAGTTTCTGAATTTGAAAAGGCTCCAAAATTAAACGCAAAGAAATGAGAAGACTGAGAGGCTCGAGCCCGCAGCAGCTTCCCCTCCAGCTCATGAGCAGATCATGCGCTTATCCACAAGGCCTTGTCATATTCAAAAGAAACCGCCAAAATAAGAAATTGAGGGGCTCAATTTCTTATTTTGGGATGTTCTGGCCGGCGCAAGAAACTGAGGGGCTAAGGGAGGTCCGACATTTCCCATCTGGGCAGGCTGTAGCTCAGTTGACAAGCACAAAATCAGCTGGCGAAAGGCTGTGGGCTCGCATCCGGGGGTGTCTTTGCATGCGTCCAGCTTTTGGAATACAATATCGAGTCCCTTATTTGCGCGAACAAAACCGGCGAAGACAACATGAGAAGAGCAAAATAAGAAATTGGCTCGCCGAGTCCAGGGACGCGGGAAGTTGGGCCCTGCAAACGAGGTCTCCAAAATCTTCATTGGAGGGTGCTCAGCATCAGAGCCATGCAGTGTTAGCACGCTGCATGGCAGATTCATCACGGCAATTATGAAACTGGTTCCAGACAACTCGTTGCCTGTTCTACTGGCAACAAAAGGCTGTAAGTTGTGGTGTTGCTTTTCGCCAGGCAGAAGTGTGAGCAAAGTTTCATTGCCGGGCATCCGAAGAAGACGAATCTTCAGCGACAGCACTGCTTAAGAAATCACTGGTTTAAGAAATTGAGCCCCTCGGACAGCCGTGCGACATGTGAAAATATAGAAAAATGAGCACATTGAAAATAAGAAATCCAGGGTACCGTCTAGGGCCTAGGGGAGTCGAAACTCGCTTCCGGCATGCGGTTCGCTCGTCCGGTGACTATGCTCCTGAGCATTCTTGCACATGCCGCAGAACTGCCGAACCTCCGCTTGGGGTAATCTTTGGGTGCCTGATGTGCTCTTCAACGGTGCTTGTCTTACAGCTCCTAAAAGTATATAGTCCGGTCTCACAACCTGATTCTATTTTCGACATCTGCCGCTTCTGAAGAAGACGAAAGCCATTGAGTCCCCGCTGCTTTGTTTTCACTCCGATAACCTCCTCTCCCTTGCAGACCAATGCCAGCATGCTGAAAACGCTGCAGACAGCCGCCTCGGAGCTCAAAGGGCACAGCAGGGCTCAGCGGCTGGGGGCCTTCCTATGATGTGTGGCCTTGCCAAGGTCGTCAAGGATCGGATACATCCCTCCTGGCAGCCTGGGGCTCGAGATGATTGCCCGGGCTGCAGACCCTGAAAGAAAAGCAGCCAGGTTCGCAACCTCCACCGGGCGCTTGACTTGCAGTCAGCCCAACTTGCACAGCTTGGTTGCAGGGACGAAGGTCTGTCCCACATGCTAACTTCAGCGCACCTGGAGCCGAGCTTGGAGAGACAGGGAACGAAACGACTGGGCAGGACATCTATGGTGTACGAGCTGCCTTCAAGGCACAGCCAGGTCAGCATCTTTGTTCACTGTATGCGAGAGATTCTTGCTGCAAGGCGGTTATGAACAGTTATTTTGCCAGTAGCGAACCAGCAGCATGGCTTGCTGAGGTCACAAGCTGGTGCTTGCAGATTACTCCCAGCTTGAGCTGCGCATCCTGGCGCCTGGGTTTCGATCAGTCTTGGCATTCAGGTAGACTCAATCCTGATTGTCTTGTAAACTAAAACCTGCACCAACAACACTTTGAACTCAGCATGTTGCAGTTGTGCTGTGATGACACATGAACGCGCCGAAGTCGATGGCAGTATCGACACTGCCTGCTCGCTTCAGAATTGATCCCCGCCTCTTGGAACGATGCACAGTGCACGTACCGAGGCCCACATCTCGCAGTGCAGGCAGGGTGCGCGCAATATCGCTCAATGCTACAGTGCGGCGTAAATTCTTATCGGTCAGCTTCCTCTGGTTTGAATGCTAGCACCAAGGTCCAAGGCATGTGTTGATCGGCACGAGCATTATGATGAGGGCCTGCCGAGAACCGACTGCGAACTATGAGATGTGAGAGTGTAAAAGGCCCACATGCAGCGTCATCTTCGAATTGTACCTGGCAGGGTCATGTCGCAAGGTCTGCGTCAAGGCGGCGACTACCATGCCCAGGCCAGGTTCAACTAGGCTGTCCTGTTGACAATTTGCAAGCATGTCCACGAAGGATGCCAATTATGCTTCATGAGGTTACAGTGACTGACAGCAGCGCTAACCCACTTACAGTTTCGGAAGGTTGCAGTCGAGATGTTTGACCACGTCCGTGAGGCACTGCTTAGTTGCGCACAAGTTTGGCAAGGGAGTAGATGGAAAGACGAGACAGGTCGTTGATAGGCCGATGCGAAAGCAGGAGTAGCTGAGGACCTGTCCCACTCTCACTAGCAATTAGAGCCTTCTTGGGGCAAGACATCAGCAAAGCGAGAAGGCCGTGGAGAAACATGGTGTCTCGGTGGACAACTCTGGCGCGCAGAGTGTAAAGCAAAGCCCCCAGAGTGCATGCTGCAGTGTGGCTTTGGCATGCCAACACCAGCAAAAACGGCAACGCACTGATTTAGAATTTAGAGGTGACATTCCGTTTTGCATGCAGTGGGTCTGCAGAGGCATCCTGCTCAAGAGTCCACGGATAGGCAGGGATTAGTTCTGCGCTGCCTTCCCACCCCCCCTCGCAATCATGGGGGTCATGGCACTTCGGCTGCAAGAGTGAGCCGCGCAGACGGATGGGGTGAAGTTTCATCCGCCTGAGGACCTCACTGTAGGAGATCTGACGCCCGAGAAGGGCGAGGCCGGATTGGAGCTGAGCCGAGGGCACAAAGCCAAGCGTCTCCGAAGCCCTTTGTGTTGTTCCGCTGTCTTTCGGTGAGATTGGGCGTTGCCTGTCGCCCTGTGCCAGAAAAAATGCTGCTGCTGTTGCTGCAGCTGCTTCGGCTTCGTCGTCTTCATTCTCTTGGTCACTTCTTTCCAGCAGGCCAGCCCGTAGAAGATAGGCACTCGAAGGTACCGGTAGAGAAAAGAAATGCTGCCTCGTGGCCGATTCCCCAGATTGTTCTGCAGCGAATGCACGTGTAAGCTGCAGCTGCATCGGTTGTTTGCTGTTTGAGGGCAAGCTGAGGGTATAAGAGGGTGCTCATTGTGGAACGCTTGGATGTTCCTTGCAGTTTGTGGCTTTTCTTCGGATTGCAGTCACAAGCTTTAAATTTCGTTTTGGCGGACAGCGTTTCCGACAGGTTTCACACACATAAGGGTTGACGCGCATCTTTTCCAACGGAGTGTGAGTTACACACACAGCTCAGCGGCAGCATCGCAACGCTAGGTAAGACGTTTGATGTTGGTGCATTGATGTAATCTCCGACATAGCTGAAGGCAGCGTCCCAGCTTGTTGGCTAGTAATGTCCGCCGTGTGAGCAATGCTCCTGGAGCATGTTCTCAGGTTAATCGGCTGAATGCGGGGCTGCTGAGAAACAGTCTCACCGGTGAGGTGGGCTTAGAGCGCCGGGCGCCCAGAATAAAGCATCCAGTTCCCAGCGTGGGATGCCGAAATCAGGTATGCGGAGAGGTGAACATACGTGCACAAGTAGGTAACTAATGGTACATACATACATACATACATACATACATACATACATACATACATACATACATACAAACACACACATCGATATATAATAGGATAGGTGTGTGTGTATATGTACATGTATACAACTGTATAAATATGAAATGTTGCCATCGGTGTGTATACAAACAGCAAGTACATAATAACTGAATACACATACTAGGGATACGCGCGTATGTAGGTATGGGTGTAGATGTACATGTATAGACACCCTGGTATATCACTTCTACATGTACAGATTGGTCCATGGATATGACAGGTCATGCGGTTATTGTGTGCCTTTACACGCAAGGTGGCAAATGGGTAGTGGGTAGACCGGGTCGAATCGACTTCGGCGCCGGTGCATGCTGAAGTCATCACGACTTGCAGGAATTCGGTGCGAAATCAGCAAGATCGAACGTTGGAGTTCAAGCACGGCCTGCAAACGACACCAGCACACGTTAGTGCCGTCAGGTGCATACTTGCAGGGGCGAAGCCTGGCTGCAGACCTTTGCAGATCGATTGTTGTAGATTGTGCGCTCCTACGGGACTGTCCGTTGGTGGAGATCCACCAAGGTTACTTCGTGGGGTTCTGGAACGAGTTCTTGCACTTTCCCACAACCCTCAACACAATTGTTTCTTGGCCTGCTGAGAGGTGAGGCAACTACATGCCTTCCTACATTGACCCTCATCGGGGGTCTACTCCTCGTCTATCCGAGGAATTCGCAGACGAAGCAGTCGAAGAAGGAGTGCAACAGCTGGGCAAGCTCAGGCTCGTTGCTGGGCTCGTCAAAATCAAGTCCGACAGAAAAGTGCAATTACGTAAGGCCAAAAACTTGTTCAACCACCCACGTGCAAGCAGCGTTCCGTACTGACTCTGCCAGGTCGCGAGACAAGGATGGCAAGCAGATTTGGCTAGATGTCTCCGTCCAGCAGCCTTTCTGAATACATACATTCAGTCCCAGGCCGTGTGCATGCCTAGTCTGGCAAACTCAAACCCGCAACGCTTCTTGGTTTCAATCGCGAAGTTGACGCGAGCTGGATTTCACCAGCAGGCCCCCTTGGTGTTTTGCTGCCCGGCCCTGCTTGGAAGCTTCTGCCCTGGGCTACCTTCTTCAACCCCTGCTGCCTAAGGTATCGGATCTATCCGGAAGAGCTGCCGCAAATCTACAGGCCGACATGTGGTTCCTGGTGGTGCAGGGCTACAAATTTAACAAAGCACGTGAGCACATGTGCCCAAACATCCTCGAACAAACTAGCAAGACGGGTCAGCTTGGACTCCAACTGAAAAAGATTGGCCGTCATCAGAGTCGCTATGAGTCGTTAGTCCAGTCGCTGATTTCAGGGAGATGACGAAGGTGTACGAGGATGTCTACATCTCAGAGCTGCGAGGACGCCCATTTCTCTATCCCCGCGCTTTCGGAAGCGTCAGTCGTGGATGGCTCAAGCTGTCGTGCAAAGCTGGGTTGAAGCAAGTCTTCGAAGCTTTGGGATGTATGCATCCCGGGAGGAGCTCTGCAGCAGGTCACGAATGAGTTCGCCATTGATCAGGCTGGTTACAGTTGTAGAAGCAAAGGAAAAACTGGACTCCGTCATAAAAGCGTTTCAGAGAACTCTTTTCTGCCAAGCGTTTCCTCTTTTACCTCTCGAGTCAGACATGGGTTGTCAGGCTTGGAGAGACTATCCCAGCGTGCAGAAGAAGATGCACGATGTGTGCAAGGCCGTTCTACTACAACGCCACGCAGAGTGCTTCCTGTCCAAAGTAGCATAGATTAGGGTGCCCTCATCCCTGCTCGCCCTGCTCGAGTTCCCTGCCTAGGTTGGGGCCTTCAGCTCTGGGGCATCCGTTTGCAAGTGGATTCTTGGCCTTTCCAAGTAGACTGCGGTTGCTCATGTCGTGCCTGTTATTTTTTCAACATGCGGTAGCCGCAGCAGAAGCGGCCAGTCAGCCGTGTGACCTTATGTGTGACCTTACCAGTCCTGCTTTTTGCCCTTCGGACTGCCTACCGGGGAACCTGAAAGGAATACGAGAATCAGCTCATCCGAACGCAGGTGAGGAAGCTCGGCGGCAACGATCGCAGTCGTGAGTTTAGCGTTGTGCAAGTGTAATTAAGTGCTGCTCTTGTCAAGGGGAGACGTTTCGGCATGCCAATGCCACTCGCTCAGGAAGCAAGCAGAGGAAACGGCGAGAGCAACGCAGCTCCAGACAGAGTACCGCCAGAAGACACAGGTGGATCGGCAATTCTTGCGTCTCGTGTTGCAGCTGCAACAGATCCCGCCGTGTCAGCCATGGTAAGGTCATACTTGCCGAGTATGCGCCCGCCTTAACACAATGCCTGACAGGGCTTCAAGGATCCCAGATTTGACTGGATGTTTGCAGGCTTGAAGGCGGCTCTCGGGAATGGTTGGTATGAATCATGAACCGCATGCTGCGTGGTGTTCCGACTGCCACGAAAGATCCTTTAAAAAGAGATTCGGTAATTCGATGGCTCGAGTTGGCACGCATGTGGATCAACTGTAAACCTTCTCCTTAGGGCAAGGTGCTTTCAACTGGAAGCCATGGCTCGGCTATACAGAAACGTCCAATCGTTTTGTTCTGTTTTCAGCCAAGGTTGCCAACGTGAACCTTCGCTGAATGTGGCGTCACACCGTTACGTGCTGATGGGTGTGACGGTCGTACTTCAGCTTTGCTTTCTTATGCATGGCACACTCGTGGGACCAAGGACAATCATCAACCAGAAGGGTGTTGCCGACAAGAACCGGATAGAACGTGACTCCGTAAGTGCCGCACAGTCGGCGTTGGTGACAGCACAAGGAGAAGTGTTGCTCGTCTGTACAAGACAATGGTTGTAAGCACTCTCCATCGAGGACGGAAGAGAGCAGCGGTGCAGCTGAGGCTGAAAATTGTCCAGGATGAGGTAAAGCTGAACGCCACCGAATGGATGCCTGAACGGATCATGACTCCAGAACAGCTTGCACCCCGCTTAGCACCATTTCTGTATTTATTGGTGGGCACTGCTGCTGTAACATTGAGGTACAATACCAGCGGATACTAATGTTGAAGAACAAGAAGTCTGCGAGCCCTGGCCACATCTTCTTCTCTAAATCTAATGAATCTGAGACTCTAAGGCTTGGTATTTTCTGAATTCTGTGCCTCATCAACGTACCTCCTGCATTCAATATACTCAATGCAGCTCCGAGGAACTTCGCAGTGAAGTCCATCGGGCAGTCGCAGAAACTGGCTCTGCGTTGAGGACAGCTGCAAGTCGTAGAATGAAGCCAAAAAATTGTAGTAGCGATGATCTCGATAGAGCAACCATCCGGGAAACTGCTGAAACATGCCGCAGCCTCCGAGCAGACTCGCATCAGCTCAGGCAGGCATTTCGACGTCGCACCACGACAGCGCACTATGAGCCTTCCGCCGCATCAGAGACGCTGTCTGTGTGACTCGCAATGTCCATTTAGAGTTCCTCGGGTCATGCGTTGATACCAGGCGTGCTCGCGGTTCCATGTGTGAGAGGGCCGCGGTGCATCCTTTCCGGGTGCTGCATGCTGGCCCTTGTAGGCGGTGCCTTGTGGAATGTCCCAGAGTACGTTTAGCCTTTAGCAGAAGGTGCAGGTAGCATCCTCACCCTCAAGCATGCGCCCGCATCTTGAATTTGAAGCGCAGGCGCTCATTGCATGCCATTGAGTGAGCATGCAGTGCTACTGACAGGGACCTGCTACTTGTGCACACAGCAGAAAGCAGCGAGGAATGTATTCGTAAGCTAGGGTGAGCTAGAATCTAATTACGGCTACATGGACGGATGGCACGCTCACCCAGGAGTTTGCTGGCCCGCCGGCACAGCCACCGGCAGCCCCTAGCAAGGCTTTTGCCGAGTTGGTTTTGTCGTTTCTGCTGCATAATTCCAATCGTGAAACCCGGTCGTCATGACATTGGAGACACAGTCCAACGCTCAGCAGTGACTTCTTGTGTGCTCACTGTTGGGCTCATGGAAAGTTGCAGTGGCCTGACAGCCGTGCCTCGAAGTGTCACTGTGTTTCGTGGACAGCTTGCTGTCGTGATTCCAGACAATGGAAACATCTCACGACAATCTAGAATCTAGCGGCTAATCGTTTCTTTGTCATTCCCTACCGATCGATCTATCCGTCTGATCTGCTGTCCGCAATCAGTATCTGCAAGCCGGCTGGAAAACCCATAAGCCCGCAAACGTGGGAATGAGGGTGAAGCTTTGCTGCCGGCTTCAGCGGATTCGGCTTGAAGCCTCAGGGATGTCGCTCCGATTTCCCTCCGAAGCTTCGACTGTCATGGGAAGGTCGGAGGCGTGTTGGGCGTTCCGATTGCTGAACGCCGTCACAAATTGCCGATTGTTTCGGTTCAGAAACTAATTGCTAGCGATTCTAGATGGGCATACGAAAAAGTATTGCGATTTGTTTCGACTGATGTACGAGGCTTTGTTTGCAAGATCAACAGCTCCAGCCAAATGTTGCGACAGAGCTGCAGCGACATCGGAAAGAGCGAGCATGCTTTCAGCCTGCAGTGTGTGGACTGCTGGGATTGCGTTTTCCCGCTTGGTTCGGGCTAATGGTTGGGGCCTACATGCCCAGACCCAGCTGTAGCGGCAACACCTTAAGCTCCGCGACATTGCCTCGTTTCAGTTCTGGGTTCTGAGGGCTTGCGTATGTCTTCTCGAGGTCCACCTTCCCGGAGGAGCGGAACAGGGCCAAGGCGGTGAACTTTGGCAGCGGCCCTACAATTACTCGTGCAGTGTGCCAGGCCTCTCACTTGCATTCGTCGCAGTTGCGCATCCTCAGGCATCATATACGGCATGACGGACTCACGCCTCGCAGAGGAGCCTCGACCCAGGGAGCAAACGGCATCCAGTTTATAATGGTTGAACAGCTCATGAATGTTGATCTTTGCGAGGATTTGGATATTCCCACAGCAGAAGCGACAGCCCTGATGCAGGCCGGCTCATTGTGTGCTCCACCCGTGCAGCTGTCGCTGTAGCTTCCGTAGCAAGCACCACTCCACTCTCATTGCAATGCATGGGTGGGAGCTGGAGGCTTGGTACTCGAGCAAGCCGATGGTTAGCAGGCCGAGTCCTGTTGTTGTTTCGCTTCCCGGAGAAGGACCATATGTATTTGTGCGAATTGGAACAATTAAATATGTGTTTTCAGATGGTTGAAAAAGTATAAGATACACAATAGAGTGTGCAGAAGGTGTGTTTGTGTGTGCGTGTAGACAAAAAAGGCTTTTCCTTGCTTTCTTTCCTTATTTCTTTATTCCTTTCTTTGATTTCTTTCTTCTTTCTACATGTATACATATACATAAACATATACATAATACACATACATACACACACACATACATGCATGCATGCATGCATGCATGCATGCATGCACACACATACATACATACATACATACATACATACATACATACATATATACATATATACACACATACGTACCCCTAAAGAACCCGTATAGATACCTTCATAGAACCCGAAAGCCCCTCCCAAACCAC